AATAAATAACTTTATTATTCTAAACATAATAAACAGTATTATGTTTGTTAATAATAGTAATAATAATAATAATAATAATAATAATAACAATAATAATAATGACAACTATCTACTGGTTATTGCGATAGAAAGACAAAATAAATCAAAACATAAAAAATGTTGTTTATAAGACCGTGTGAAACAGAAAACCATGTTCGTCGATCGCAAAACACATAATTGAGACGGTATGTGATTGACATCAAGACCGCTCCACTAATCTGGGGAGTCTTCAGTGTTGATGGCTTGGATACAGAAAGCTCGAATGGCTTTTGCCATCTTGCGTCACTTATAGTGTAGGCAAGATATCTGTTTGATGACTACAGGATGGGTGTTCTGCTCAGAAGTTCTCTCCGTCCAACTTTATGGCTGTGAAACATGGCCCGTAAGAGTAGAAGATATTCGTAAGTTACTGGTTTCCGATCATAGGTTTCTGCGAAGCACTGCTTGTGTATCATGGGACAGCCGAGTAAGCACTGCTATCGTTAAGAAACAGGTCCTAAGTAAGGATGGCAGATCAACAGATGAAGTATTGAATCTTCATCAGTTTAGGTGGTTGGGACATGTGTTGCGTATGCCTAACCACCGACTGCCTCGTTGAGTTATGTTTTGCGATGTACGAATAGGTTGGAAGGAAGCTAGGGGCGGCCAGATCGAAACATGGCACAAATCGATGAAGTCACTGACAAGTGGAATGAGTCATTCCGATAGGTGTCGACTACCTGGTTGAGGCCCGCGAGATGATAATAATAGACGGTTAGAGACCCTGAGTGAGTAGGTGCATTCATTCTTTGTGTTATCTCGAATCCCAACCTTCAGAATTCCTCACCACTTTATATTTTTCTTTTTAAGTTTATTTCACTGGATTCTACTTGTGTGTACTGAAACAATTTATTATTCCTTGAATTTACCCTGTAAATCTTTAGTCCATTGTATGGCCTAGGGTAATGTAACTATTTCCTACCCCTTCTTATTCTTTCTACATAACTTTTAATTTTCTCTCTCCTTCATTTACAATCATCACCTTATGTCTATTTGAACTTCTATTTAATTGATCTTTTATTAATTTTCAAATAAAATGCCTCGACAAGATGCCTTGATCAGATTGTTCGATATGTATAGTGCAAATACATCACATTTTTCAGATCAATTACATCTCCTCACTGTTCTAGGAAAATAAAGTCATTTGAATTTGAGCGTAATCTTTACCGAACCCCATTACAGTGAGCCAGACGATCGATTTCCGATAGTAATGTGTACAATTATTAATTTGTAATAACAAACTGGTAAGTTAAGATAATTATATAATGCTAAGATAATAAAACCAAATCTTTCAAAACAGATAAAGATTATTCAAAAACCAAAGAAAGTATTACGTGAAACAATGCTAAATTTAAATACATAGCAATAACTATTCCTTTTATTAAAACAATTGAAAAACGAGTGCTACTGAACATTCCTGTCTGTATGAAATGTTTGTTTACAAATGCAAAAAGTTACCTTAGATTACGCTGTTGTTCTGAATTAAAATATAGTGTTCACCTAGGAAAAGGGTAAGAAGTATGCTTGATGTGCTTGATAAAAATATATTTCTTCCTACGAATCTATATTTACACCATGACTACTGAATAAATTTGCCAGTGTCAACACCGAAAGCTGGATAACCAACTGGCTATGCTTCTAAATTTGGAAGCGAACAGTTTACTGTACTTGGGGGAAAGTATTCAATGTCTTTACCAAGTTAAAAAGCTGTGCTACAAAGGATTGGTTATTTTTTCATTATCTTTACTGTGAGATTTCCTAACTTCTACGGAAAACTTTTTACTTAAGGATGCGGATGATCCCATCTTACACACATTGGTTTCTGCCACTTGACATTTATTTAAAATGAATGAGATCTTGTCGCTCAACCAACGATGGTCTACAGTTCTACAGTACCTTATCTGCCAAATGCACTATGTAAAAAACAAGCTGTAAGCTTTGACCCCAACAAAAACTTTCACTCTTGTATATGTTATCAATAAAAAGTTGTTTAGATGTTCATCTTATTAAAAACACCTCATTTAAATCCCAAATAGTTTATTTATTTATTTCTGAATGTGTATGTGTGGATTCATCGGTTCTTTTACGGTTGGTGATGTAAAATAAATTTGTTGACATTGTTTAAGCGGCTCCAAGAAAGTCTGATGAAGCCTTTGGAGGCGGTCAAGAAGCCGATGAGATTCCATCTAATCTTAATTTAATAGAACTGATTGAATATGGATGTGAAATACGGTGATTAGATAATTATACAATATTATTGTTTGTGGATTGGACAATCAAAATGATGTTGTCAGTCTATACCAAAAATATAAGTATACATGATTTCGCGGGATATTTCGACACTTTTACTAGAGTAAAGGTCTCTGTTGTTTTCCTCTTGGCTTATGCTTTGCGATACGGGGGCGGGTCTACTAATGTTAGCGCCAGAAATTGTATTGTGTATAAGACGTATATAGTAGTAGAATTATTAGATATATTCTATTCTGAATATTCTATATAGTAATAACCGTATTATATTGTATAAGGTTATTAATAATAGTGATAATTATAAAGAAACATATCAGCTTTTTATAAGATAACGGTTCGCATTTTCTACTGGGATAACAACGACACTAAAATTAAAGATCAGTTGTTCAAGAGGATGATTTTAGCACAATAATCTGACATGTGAAATAAAGGGACTTTAAAAATCCTTCTGGACAAACTTTCGGTAGGTCACTTTCGTCTGAAGTTTATTATCATGACGTTGTCGACAGAGACGATGGAAAAAAGAGAGAATACAACTCTATTAAAAATTTGTATCCACTGCTTTGTATACAGAGTGACAAATTATTGTTTATGAGGACTAATGTGCCTTATTTTCAGTTTTATTATTATTATTATTTTCCAAGCATCTTATTCATTTCATAATATGCATTTTATTTGAATGTTTCATGACAAGAAAAGTAATTTTCTCTAAAAAAAATAATAGATAATAGTTTTGCAGCATTTGATGTCAGTTAACTATTTTTAAATTATTGTATGAAATGCTAAATGGGATCACAAATTTTATCATTCAAAAATGGTATTATTTGAAATAGCGAAGAAATAACACAATCATCAGCAGAAACAAAAACAGCTTCATACAATATCCCACAAAAGAAAACGAAAACTCAATTATACATTTAACCAATAAAACTTGATATACTACTACTACTACTACTACTACTACTACTACTACTACTACTACCACTGCTCAGTAGATAAGAATGAAAACAATCCAATAAATAACTACTATTATCTGTTCTATGAAAATATTTAGGTCAATAAGACCCACTTGTATTATAAATACATTAATTTTCATGCCTGAAGAGAAATTCATTTTGGTAAAATAATTATTAATATTATCAAGGGGTCAGTGAGAAAAAAATAAGGTTGATGAAAAAACAAAATTGTGTAGACGATGGATTAACGTGGATTAGAAGGGAAAAAAATACTGAAAGCTTAGTTTAAAAAAAAATAATTTAAATTAACTTAAGAAGAATGCATAAGAATTGTTTCTGTTTCCTCGATTTAAGTTAACAGAGTTCCAGTTATCAGATGAAATCTGGTTTTGTTTGATATTTTTTTTATTTGAAAAAAAAACTGTTAAACTGATAATCACAATTATCACGTTCGTTTTCAAAGACTTTTTAAGTAAGAAGAAAGAAAGAGAAAAGGACACTATTGATCATTTCATCGAATTAACTATTGAATAGTAATTTTTCTAAAATAAAAATAAACTACGTAGTTAACGTTTTATTTAAGCCACTTAATCCTACTTGTAGTATAAATAAATGGTTAGTAAGGAGAGATTATTTACTATTGAAGCAAAACAATTGTTAAATGAATTTCAATTGGATAAAACAAATAAAAATGGAAAACAAATTCAGTAATTACGACAGTTAAATGTGAACACTTCTTTGAATTTGGCTAATTTGATTTGATTATTTTGAGTACACTTATTGTAATAGTCACGAGAAAAACATTCCGTTTAATTTAACACTGTCTAATGAATAAGTGAACTTAAATCAAAAACAATTTTTTTTTATCATACCAACGATGAATCATCTAGTTTCTGATTAAACTTCTCATGATTTCTGTACAGCAAATTATTAATTTCCGTTTCCAATATTCAAAACACACTTGAAAATCTTCATGCGTTAGGGTATGATGATTTTACCTATATCTTAGGGATTAAGAAGTGTTACGGACTGTGCACGTGTTGTATTTTGCTAAACACGGTACAAGGACTTCCAATCATTATCACATTCCCTATAACGCAATATCCACACGAAAATATCTTCTTTATTTAATTCATTATCTCCACGATCACCTTAAATTATTTCAGAAGTTGTTTTCAGGTGTCACTAAAAGTGTTACTACCTCAGTAGTTCCAAGTAAAAACTCATAGAATCTTAGTAAATAAACGTTCTATATCACTGTCCACTGTGACCACAATGTAGTGAACATTAATGCTATTACAAGTATTGAATCATACGTCAGACATGAACTATTCTAAATTCGATATCACAGGTTTAAACGGGAGAAATAATTTGAAAAGTTCTCCAATGCGTTGTTGTCAGTGTATTTCATTGAAACGTAACCCGTTTGTTTTAAAATGAAAATAAAAATAGTACACTCAAAAGCTATTCCATATTTATAAGCATAACTGATTTATCAAAGATGAACAATTACTGTCAATCGAGGGATATAAATTATACCGTAAAACAAGAGATATCAGGTAGATGGTGTTTACAAATTATACTTAATAAACTGTCCATAAAATTTATAGAATAATTACATTATAATGAGGAGAAAAAAAAGTCAATTGGTGTAAATAAACACAATGACAGTTAACACTGGATAGATAGATTTAATTTAATATTTATGAAAACACTCACCAGTTAGTGATTGTAAACCAGCTCCAATGGTTGATAAACATGATCCAATTAAAATAACCCAGAAATGTGGCCATGCAAATGCAGCAACCAATAATATACCACCGTAACTTTCACCAAATCTGTCAAAGTGTTTTATGATAACACATAAAAGAATGTATATTGATAATACCGAAAAAAATCTCTCGTCAACCTTCAATTCAAGACATAAATAATGTAAAAAAATATTCAAAGATTTGTAAATTTGGATACTTTAATGCATAAAATAAGATTATCAGAAGTAAAAAAAAAATAAATTAGCGCAATACATTTCGAACAATCTGATCACAAATATATTGATATAAATATCCTTTAAACAAAAACGGTCAACTTTAGACACCCTCTATTTGCAAGTCACTATTATTCCTGGACTATATAAATGCACATACCAAAAAGCCTAGACATCATGTAAACGGTAGAGCTCTACCGCACACATTGTTCCGTAAATGTATCATATATTTATTTGGCATAGAATTATTTATCAATAGTTGAATGTATGGTTTAATAGAAATAGAGAACAGAGTATATGGAAGACATGTGTGTAAATCACATTTGAAATAATCCTGCCAACTGCAATTTTATAAATTTCAATATCTCGTTCACCAATCTTGTCTGGCCTTTAATAAAAATATATAATGTTTTACAAACAGATCTACACCAGAAGCTTATTCAGTCATATCAATATATTGACTTTTTCTAGACAGGAAATATGATTCAGACATTTTGAAAATTCAATAACCTAAAAAGAATGTGTGAATGTGTATAAGTACATATCTATGTTATTAATAGACACAATTAAGTCAATAAATAGTCTCTGTCTACTACCAAAGACAAATTATTCATTGATTATTAAAAAAAAATTGCAATTGAAAAGTGTGTAAAATGAAAAAAAGTCATATGCATAGTTGTGAAATTAATACAGTGAAATTGACTTATTGTTTGAATAAAAACCACATATGGTGGAAACAGGATGAACAGAGAGATAAAGTTCGGATTATTTGTTGACTACAAGTTGCTAGTTGTAATTCATCTCTATTTAGCCGGTTCTTATTAATGCATATATACAATGCTTCTAATGTTAATCTTTATTTACTTAATTTATTTTGTTTGTTGTCAAACGATAATCACTTTTGATAGTTAGCGATAAAGTAAATCTTCGTTTTGTATTGACAGTTCAACGTAAAATTTCTCATAAATAATTACTCATGAATAGCGTTGCAATGTTTATTCAACTATTAGTTATTAATGTATCAATTACGTTCAAATGTTCAACCTAAATGGAAATTATCAATGGCATGTAAACTCGTCAGTTCATATGTTACACTAACAAATATCTAACCGAATATCATCAAACTGTGCATAAGTTGATTGTTTGTTAGAAGTTTATATTGAAAAAAAATAATTAAGAAGATGAAATTGTTTTTAAAACAAACTATTGTAAATAAACGCAACACCATTTAAAAGCATCCATGTTAGATTTCAAGTGTTGATGAAAAGATTGTGTTGAAATCATGGTTTTTCAATGTTAGTTAGTGTTCATTACTTTTACTATTAGACCTAGGAAGAAATATCTTCTAATCACAATTGCTGCCTTTTTTTACTCTTTCTCATTTTCGTCCACATGTTTCACTTCGTAAATTTCAGCACTCATGCATTTTTCAACTAGGTGCAAATCTATGAAAGAATGATCCTTATTGGCTTATAAATTCAAATCTAAGTATTTGTTGAAACTGCCTTTAGGATGGCTTGAAAGTTAAACTTCAGCAATCATAGTTAATGAGGGACAGATTTGTATGATTTTTGTTTAAAATGATTATAATCTGAAAGTCACAACTATGACATATCTGACCGAGTGAAGAATATTGACTGCAATATTATCATTGAAACTAACATTCTGTATTGACGAATCATTGCGAATTTGATCAAAATAGGAATCAGAAGGTTTCTGAAAAATCAACTGACTTCTTGTCCTTTGGCTGGCGGTTACAATTGAAAGCTTTTAAAGATTTGGATTGGATTTTTTAAGAGACAATTTATCCAAGTTACATGAAATTCTAAATGAGATTGGTAGTTTAAATTGCAGTAAACTTTATTCATTGACAAAAACGCTCAGTCAATGTCAAACACACAAAAAAATAACTGTTTGCTAATAAACAAAATAACTTATCAATGCAGTTTAAATTCTGATTGTTCTATCAAAATTTATCAATAAAAGAAAAAGACTCACTTATCTCTCATAACAGAGCCATCACAGATTGCAGCGAACAATAAAGGTGATGAGAGATCTTGACAATGCAAATTTTACAATTATCAGATGTATGACAATTAGGTAAAATTGTCATTTCAAGTGAAGACAACATTTTGATTAAACATGAAAAAAGTTAAGGAATTATTCATAGTGTGAATTATATCTGTATAAAATTGTGAAATATATAAATGCTATTCTACACGAATGCCTCATTACATGTGTGAATAACTCACAGTTACACGTTTTCAAAGGAAAAAATATTGGATAGTGCAAGATAAAATAAATAATAGAATTAAGAAAACAAATAAACTCAAGCGTATTTCATTTGATCAACTGACATAGAACACAGTGATATCAAACTTTAAAATTTTTTAGTGTAAAACCTGTAAAATAGAGAATATTGAAATGAAGTTGTCAATAGGATAGTCGAACGCTATTGATTAATTAGTCTTACACATACACAGTCGTTAAAATTGAACACTATTATAGTCATTTGAAATTTATTGGAAATACTAAAAAAAATTTTCAATTTTATTTTGTATAATAAAAAATAATTTTCATGACATAATATTTAAAGCTACTAAATAATATATGACTACTAATTAGAGCGATAGCAGGAACACTGGAGATGACTAATTTTAGTGTAAATTATAGTTTGTTTGTTTTTCTCTTCACGACAAAAAGGATACATACAAACGACGTCATTGTGATAGCCAATATCGTTCCCAATGGAATTGATTTTTGAGGATTAGTCAAATCGCCTGATCGGTTAGAACCAGCCATGATGCCTAAATGAAAAAAAAAGATTTGCACAAATTATAAAAATAAAAAAATATGAAATAGAAATTATGTGAAAATGAAAATTAACTTTTCGGTATCATGAAAACTATGTGTAATAATAAAACTAAACAACAGATCTATTATTGCTCTAGGGATGTGCCTAAACAAAAATCAGAGAAAAAAAAATGATGCCGAAATCCATTTGATTGATGGAATAGGCAATATAATTTATGTCAAAAATAACAACTACTGAAAAATTGGAATTTAGTTCTACTTCATCAAAGTTGTTGTTGTTGTTTTTGTTATGATGTTGTTAATGATGATGATGATGACTGTTTATTATTGTTTACATGAAACGAAATTGTTGTATCGTTTATTTCTAGCGAAAGAATACAATTTATTTTAATGAGAGAGATTTCACATCGTCGATTGAGAGTATTTGCCAAAAAGGCGGATGTGTTTACTTAACACTATTTAATTATTTACCAGAGAATTTTGCAAGTTCATAAACGACATATGGTGTTATTACCACCGTTCAATCTATTTGACATTAATTATGGGATAACTAATGCTGACATATTCGAACTGCAAGACTCACAAATCAACGCATAAATATATATATATAGACAGTATAAAAGAAATTATACCACTATTTTTCATCCTAATTTATGCAGTATAGACAACTTAATCAGTAGCTTTATAACTACAGGATTTTAAACTGTCAATCAAAGCAGATGGTTAATCAATCAAAAATTTAGTTCGAGTCCATATTTAAGTAAATAAAAAACAAGGTGAGATTAGTTATTTCACTACGTTGAATTATATATATGATCATTGTTGTTGACGAGAATAATCTAACTAACGATTGCTGGCGAAAAAGAACATATCACTAACGAAAGGTACCGATATTTCGTGTAAACAAATTTTATATTCTGAGATATTTTGAGTCTGATATCATTTGCCTTATTCTATTTCTATGACGACTTAAATGAATAAACAAGTATGCAAAAAGCTGATTAGTGTAAGAAAGAGTGATAGTCTAGTATATTATTGTTGATACATGTGTATTTCTTACTTTCTATCATTAAGTATCTGCTAATTTTAAATGATTAATTTTGTTAAAACCCTTCAGATTATACGCTACATATTTTATGTTCTCAGGTAAATGCTTGTTTAATGCAAAACAAGAGAGTGTAATAATGCTAGACTATTAATCGGAATTTTTTTAATTTACCGGTAATTTGAATAAAAATTAACATCTACAACAAATGATGTTTTAGCAGGTAATTTATTATTGTTGGGGATCTTAGATCCCCAGAACTCACTTGGGAAAAGTGCTAAATTTGTAATTTTATTCTGAAATTTTGAATTTCTATGTTTTCGCGCCAGAGATGCTACATTTCCCACTCGGAAAATCCCTGACTATCATTGGTTGATGGATTATTTTAGTGCACTATTTTGTAGCTCGCACTAAGTGTATCCCATCATTGTATAAATAAGCTTGACTTGAGTGCCTAGCAACCTCCTATTGCCTGGGTGCTTGTAGAATACATTCTCTACGCCTTATCAAGACTTAATCTAATTATCAGGGCATGAGACAAATGGATTAGAATAACCTATCGTGTCACTGTATCGTTGATCTTCGTTTCGTTTACCAAGTAAGGTGAGCTCGCAATTTGATAACGAATTCTTTCAATGAAACATTAATTATCAGATTCTACATTCAATACTGAACGAGATCAACTGAATAATAAGTTATAACATTTTCATTCACCTGCAAAATCTTCTATAACTAATTCATTATACTCGTTCAAGTGAAGTACTTATATACACGTTTACATCATACATATCCCATATATATATATATATATATATATATATATATATAACTCTGCTAATAGAACCTTAGGGGCTACTGCCGGTCCCAAGCCCGGATAAAGGAAGAGGGTTGGACATGGGGTTGGAAACCCCATTCCGCCTAAATCTTACTCGCCAAAAAAACGCTAACCAGAAAAAATAATTACTACCATTTTAACTCTCCCCTGGGAGTTGGAAGAATTATGAGAACGCGTGATGAAAGTCGAGTTCCCTCGGAAGTCACGGGGCCGATGCCTCTTCTCACAACCAGAGCAACCATTTTTTTTAGGTACATGGAACGTTTGTACATTGTGGGAGACTGGAAGACTATTTCAAGTTGCGGCAGAAATGAAAAGATACAACCTCGAGGAGCTCGGCATCAGTGAAACGCATTGGACACAGGTAGGACAACTGAGACTAACTTCAGGGGAACTGTTGTTATACTCTGGTCATGAAGAGGAAAATGCTTCATATACACAAGGAGTTGCACTGATGCTGTTCAAACATGCACAAAAGGCACTGACAAGATGGGAATCTCATGGACCGAGGATCATTAATGCATCCTTCAAAACAAAGAAAGAGGACATTACAATAAACGTTATCCAATGTTATGCACCTACCAATGACTACAATGATGACGTTAAAGATCGATTCTACGAAAGGCTGCAGTCAATCGTTGAGAAATATTCACCAAAGGATTTGACGATTCTGATGGGAGACCTTAATACCAAGGTTGGCATGGACAACACTGGATATGAAGACATCATGGGACGACATGGACTGGGAGAAAGGAACGAAAATGGAGAGATTTGCAAACATATGTGCCTTCAACAAACTGGTCATCGGTGGCACAATATTCCCACACAAGCGCATACACAAAGCCACATGAATTTCACCGGACCACACTACTCAAAACCAGATTGATCATATCTGTATCAACAAAACGTTTAGAAGGACTATGGAGGATGTGAGAACCAGGAGAGGAGCTGATATAGCCTCAGATCACCACTTGCTGATCGCTAAAATGAAACTGAAACTAAAGAAGCACTAGACAACGGGGCAGACAACATCACACAAGTTTAATACGGCCTTTCTTCGGGATACTGTAAAGCTCAACGAATTCAGGATAGCCCTAACCAATAGGTTCCAGGTCTTTCAGGATCTACTTAATGGAGAAGACACAATATTGGAGAACAATTGGAGAGGGATCAAGGAGGCAATCACTTCAACATGTCACGAAGTTCTGGGTCACAAGTAATGGATCTCTGTTGATACTCTTGCAAAAATTGAAGAGAGGATGAACAAGAAGGCAGCAATCAATGTCAGCCGAACAAGAGCAGAGAAAGTTACCGCACAAGCTGCATACACAGAAGCAAACAGGGAAGTGAAGAAGAACATCAGAGCTGACAAACGAAAATATGTCGAAGATCTAGCAATGACGGCGGAGAAGGCTGCAAGAGAAGGAAACATGAGACAATTGTACGAAACTACATAGAAGCTCGCCGGAAACTATCGTAAACCAGAACGACCAGTGAAAAGCAAGCGAGGCAAAGTAATCAGCAAACACTGAACAACAGCGAACAACAGCCAAGAAATAGAGAAAGATATGAGAGGAATGAACAAACATTGGACAGAACTGGAGAGAGAAGCCCAGGACAGAGTTGGTTGGCGAAAACTGGTGGGCGGCCTATGCTCCATTGGGGGTAAAAGGCGTAAGTAAGTAAAGTATAATATATATATATATATATATATATATATATTGATCCGGTCATCTGCCTACTGAGATAACGAAACAAAGCAAGATTAAGTACGAAACGTCAGCTTAGTTATCGTCAAATCATCAAAAATACGCGCTGAATCCACTAGCAACAACTTCTATATTGGTAGAGTTCCACTTTTTGAATACACTAGTCAATATATTGAACACAACTATATAAATCGATTATAGAGCTCAAACAATTCAATAAGACCACTTAAAAAGAAATAAAGTTTGTGAATAATCACTTTCTGATCGATAAGTTCTAACGAGTTTTTCAGTATTGACCATCTTCCTCAATGAAGCACGAAATTTATTATCAGGCAATAATTAGTATATAATAAAAGTATTAGCAGTGTGATAGGATAATGATTGTTGCGTAATTAGGATAGCATTGTATCTGGATAAGAAATTAGCATGCTAGAAGATGGGATCTTTACAAGCTCATAGAATAAGCCTTATATTTATTTCTAGTCATTTATGTGTGATAATTAGTATTGATTTCAATAAACAGTCGACTTACCCGTAACAGAGGGGAAATAGATACCCAAGAGAAGCATAAAACTTGATGTAACATCAGCTATATTTGGGCCTTGGCCATATTTGCGGTCAGCTGGGAAATCAATATCATCATATGCTTCCCCTTTTTCACGATAATGCGACTGGAAAAAGTTTTCTAAAAATGGTTTTGAATAAAAGATTAATAATATTTTTTAATAACAATATGAGCAATGAATAAATCCATTTGTAAAAATGCTATATATAATTAGATATATTGTTAGGCATAACGGTTTCGTCAAAAAAACAAACAAACTGGAAATCGTTAATTTTTATAACCCATAAAATTTTTACAAACATAAATTTGTGATTGAGTTGAACTCCCCGAGTCAAAGAATATTACTGTTTTGTTTACTTGTATTATTCATTGAATCAATTTGTTCACCGACATTTATTATGTAACACGATTTATTTCAATTAAAATACTTCTTTACAGAAACATTTCAATATTCAAATAATTTACTGAGTTAATTCAAATAAAGATGAAAAATGCCTGTTGTGTTAGTTTTGTTACAATGACATCAAACATTGATTCTGTGATTCGTTTATATTTTATTACAGTGTATCGAATAAACAAGTGGAATGAACGAAAATATTATTTATTGAATGTTTAACTGTTATTTCAGTTTCACTTAGAGTACAGTGCAATTATAAAGTGTGGATTTATATTACAATAACTCGATTGATTATTATGTATAACAAATTCAAGATAATTCTACATGATTTTTATTCATTTCTTTATGCATATCTATGATCTACGAACTAAGAACCTTCCTTTAATTCATTGAGTGAATAATTCTTGTTATAAATTTACTTCATTTCGTGTTTAATATAGACTTTAGAAAATGATAAAACGAGTCAAAAGCATTTTAATGATTTGTTTTACACGGGGCACAGAATGAAATTGCATTCTCTTTCTTTCTTTTCATGAAAACTATTATTAACGTATTTTTTCGATTACTTCTCTTAGTTTACCTCGTATTTTATGAACAAAAATAAAATACAGTTATTTCCAGACTGTTCAACATTCAAAATATAATGATTGACTAAATTTTCAGGTATATTATGTTATCGTAACACACTTTTCAGGGATGTCATATAGTACTTATCAAAAAATTCAACGACATACTACAAGATACTATATTTTCTTATGGATAATATCAAAGTGGATCGATAAACTAAGTGATAGATCTGAGAGATAAGAATACTATTCAAAAAATATATCTCATAAGCTTTGAACACTAAACACGTGATATGCAGATATATATATATATATATATATATATATATATATATATATATTATATGTATATATGATAGAAAATAATCTGCTATTATGACCTTTTTTGGAACTAAAACATATTCACCAGTCCAGCTTAGAATAACTGTAAACGGAAATATAGAAAGGTAAAACTTATCAAGAAATAGAGAATATTGAAAATCCTTGAAAAAATTTCTTTTCTAACAGTTGGTGAAATTTCCTTGAAACATACTTAAACAATCGTATTTATATTATTTAACAAATGGAAATGGCTTCCATACATCTCGAGCACTTCACTAAATACACTAATTAGAAATAACAGTGATAGCTTCTCTTGTATATTTCCTGTACTACATGCTTAGCTTATTTTTCGGTGTAAATGTATGAGCGAAAATAGAACTATTCACTTGGCCTTGATTCAAATCATTTGTTCAAGGATCAATGGCGATCAGTTGTTAATTCGAAACCTATAAATCAGGGCTCGAAACTAGAAAATCACTGGTTGCAACCCTAATAAATTACTAATTAATCTATCCTTGCAGACGATTAAATCCTTGATTTTTTATCAACTGCCAAGAGAAACAAACAGAGTCCTTTGATAACTCCTCCTAAGTATTAGAAATTACTGGTTGATAACGGGGCAAATCTTATGATCAAACCATTCACTGATTGTCATGTAAACTACAATATTCATTTCTTTTTTTCCAATGTCTATGGAATCAAAAACACCTATGCTACAGTGACAATTTAGTTCTGTTTTCACTTAAAACTTCCGTTTAATTCTAATTTAAAAATATGAAAAAAGGCCAATAGAATTGTTCTACGGTGGTACTTGTTCAATGAAGAGAAAGAAACCAATCAAATTATACTATTACTTATTTATAATACTTGCATATAATAATCATAAAAATAATAATAATCAGAAAAACTGATAATAAAAATAAAATGCAATGTGTGTAGATTAAAATCTGTCAGTGCTAGATTTGCCATTATTCTTACAAAATAAAACCATAATCTTCCTGTCATTGATCAAGTGAAATTTTAGTAGATAATAAAAAAATGAAGTATAAAATTTGAATTGAAAAAAAATAATTTTTTCCAATTTTATGACCAACATCAAATGAATAAAAGCTAACTAAGCATAACTATTTTATGAAGACAAGAAAATAAAGTGACAACAGTAAATAGATATATTGTAGAATAAAAGTAGTAAGGTGTTTTTTTCTCTGATTGATCAATATTCCTTTCTGGCGAAACAGTATGATTTTATATTATTATTATTATTATTATTACTACTACTACTACTACTACTACAACTGCCTACTAATAGTAGGTCACGAGAAAAAAAATGGACCAGAATTAAATTTCCAACAATCAAAAAATAAGGATATTTCAGTGATAAATATGGACAATGTTGATATTTTTTATCACTAATTATCTAAGCAGATTAGGGATTATTGGGTCATTTAAGGTGATCTACTCGAATAATGAATATGTTAGTGATAGAAAAATATCAATATATATGTATTAAATCAGTTATTGAATATTGAACCAACTACTGAACTACTGACATAAGTTATATTTTTTTAACGAAAACAACAACAACAACAACATCAAATCTGAACTTTTAGTTGCAGTTTGAAAAAAAGTACTTTAGAAAACCCACAGAAAAAAACAAACAAAAGTCTGTCAATATTTCAATCAAAACAAAAATAACAATGATCATAAATGTCATGAACAATTTCGATTCACATGAAATATAATTGTTAGCGAATAAAGAATAAACAACTAATCAATATAAAATAAATATGTTGAATTTATCTAAATAGTACATTATTGTTGATGACAAGTACATCAACATCTATCTAAACTAATGTTGTAATAGATATTGTTAAGTACTTAAAATAGATTCTTGTTGAAAACATTTTCTATCAATCTCAATTTGTTGACAGATATTCAAATGGAATCAATGATAAACTACTTACTAGTACTACTATTACCGCTTTAGAATATAATAATTGATTAGCTGAAATATTACATACACACCTCATGAACTTTGAATAAATATACTTTTAACTGATATTTGTTCGATTTCCATCGGTGAATTTTTTCTTGAATAAAATAATCCAAAATATGAAAAAAAAAGTCTAATAATAAAATTCTCAACAATATTTAGTAATATTACGAGTTACGTTTAAAACATCTGCACACATGTGCATGCACTGAAGTGAAAAGTGAATTGAAGTGAAAAAAAAACAACTGAATTTCCTGTTAATGTGATCGAGTTAGAAACATAAATAATTACTTAGAAGATTTAGTACAATTAGTGTTCATACAGTAGTAAAATAAAAGTTTAAGTATGTACAATCATATTTATTAATAAATGTTTTCTTCATTCAATAGTCATTTATGAATAAAAATTATATACACATTTTCAACAATTCATGAATAAAATATTAATACTAAGTCTTTTCAAGTATAAATCATATCAAAAAAAAGGAGAAAAGTTTCACAGTTGAAGAAAGCATGAATTAAGCAAATAATATAAAATATTTCAATTGATAATACAATTGTTATATAATTCAAAGAGAAAATTTTGGAATTTTCTGTCTAATTTCACCATTTACCAACCTGCCATGAAGTGTATCCTTCATCGAACAAAGCCCCCTATCGTGTGTTTTTTATGGCCTTCTATTTTAAACATGATAGATGTTGAAACGTATTCTCTCTAACCGGCATGATATATGTATTCCAGACATGTGCAAAATCCTGAGTTTACTAATCATAATGATTTTTATTATTATGCCTTTATTAGGTATGATATGTTTAGTACAATATGAAATTGTCAGCACGGAATATTTTAACAAGTTTCTTTTAAAAACTCAACGAAAAAAAAACAACCAATAACAATACATGCACACATTTAAAAAAAATTAAGTCAACAAGCTATTCGGAGTCAAAATGCAATGTTTTTTTTTTATCCTATGACAAGAAACTACACAGCTTTTTAATTAGGAACATAGGTTTTTGTTTGACTAGGTCATTTCTTACCGTATATATTTGTCGCATAGTACATTTGTTAAATACAGAATCGTCGAGTTTTGTGCCTATGCTTAAGTACATGGATCCTGATGTATTGGCGTCCTGTTCTACCACAAGTTGTGAACGGAGTGGATAGTTAGTATCAGATAAGATAACAACATTTGATGACAAGGCAGATTGCATCAAAGTTGTACATAAAAAAAGATTATCGTTTGTTTATTTTTTTAGAAATGAAAAGAATTTATAACATCATCAAAGTCAATAAGAGCGCTTGCTACAATTATTACACGTTCTTCTAGTGATTTCTCTTTAAAACAATCAACTAACAGAAATTAATGATGAGTTGTGTTCTAGGAAGTTGACTGGTTTTATGTATACTACAAAGAAATATTAATCAATTATTGTCATGTGTTTTTAATATATATACTAATGCTATAGGACTTGTTAGGTAAGCATCTTATTTATTGATTTTCTACTTTACAATCAAAATAAATAAATGAATTGATCAGGAATTATTAATCAGAGATGTATGATAAACAGAATTACGTTAAGTAGGCAAGTTGTCATGGGATTATTGAAATAATGAGGTAGGATTCATGCAACATCGCCAGTCATACATAAATACCCAGATAAAAATGAATTAAGTTGAAGTATTTATTCGAAGAAGTTAGTAAACCTAATTAATTAGCTTCCATTCAACAGATCTCGTATAATATAGAGTGATCGTTAATGAACAAATGTACATTGGCTTAGTTTGCCACATTTCATAACAACAGAGTATAATAGTATAAAAATCAAATGAGTCAAAATAATAA